TGCTTTTGTTTTATCTCTGCTCTTGTGTTCTATCTACTGCTCTTGTGTTCTGTTTACTGCTTTTGTTTTATCTCTGCTTTTGTGTTCTATCTACTGCTCTTGTGTTCTGTTTACTGCTTTTGTTTTATCTCTGCTTTTGTGTTCTATCTGCTGCTCTTGTGTTCTGTTTACTGCTTTTGTGTTCAGTTTACTGCTTTTGTGTTTTATCTCTGCTGTTGTGTTCTATCTACTGCTTTTGTGTTTTATCTACTGCTTTTGTGTTCAGTTTACTGCTCTTGTGTTCTGTCTACTGCTCTTGTGTTCTGTTTACTGCTCTTGTGTTCTATCTACTGCTCTTGTATTCTATCTCTGCTCTTGTATTCTCTGTCTGCTCTTGTGTTCTATCTGCTGCTCTTGTATTCTATCTCTGCTCTTGTGTTCTTTCTACTGCTCTCGTGTTCTGTCTACTGCTATTGTGTTACATCTATGGTCTTAAGTTCTATCTATGCTCTTGTGTTCTTTCTACAGCTCTTGTGTTCTATCTCTGCTCTTGTGTTCTGTCTCTGCTTTTGTGTTCTGTCTCTGCTCTTGTGTTCGATCTCTGCTCTTGTGTTCGATCTCTGCTTTTGTGTTTTGTCTATGCTCTTGTGTTTTATCTCTGCTATTGTGTTCTATCTCTGCTATTGTGTTCTATCTCTGCTATTGTGTTCTATCTACTGCTATTGTCTTCTATCTGCTGCTCGTGTTCTATCTACTGCTGTTGTGTTTTATCTACTGCTCTTGTGTTCTCTGTCTGCTCTTGTATTCTCTGTCTGCTCTTGTATTCTCTGTCTGCTCTTGTATTCTCTGTCTGCTCTTGTATTCTCTGTCTACTCTTGTGTTCTCTGTCTGCTCTTGAGTTCTCTGTCTGCTCTTGTTTTCTCTGTCTGCACTTGTGTTCTCTGTCTGCTCTTGTGTTCTCTGTCTGCTGTTGTATTCTCTGTCTGCTCTTGTGTTCTCTGTCTGCTCTTGTGTTCTCTGTCTGCTCTTGTGTTCTCTGTCTGCTCTTGTGTTCTCTGCTCTTGTATTCTCTGTCTGCTCTTGTGTTCTCTGTCTGCTCTTGTGTTCTCTGTCTGCTGTTGTATTCTCTGTCTGCTCTTGAGTTCTCTGTCTGCTCTTGTATTCTCTGTCTACTCTTGTGTTCTCTGTCTGCTCTTATGTTCTCTGTCTGCTGTTGTATTCTCTGTCTGCTCTTGAGTTCTCTGTCTACTCTTGTATTCTCTGTCTACTCTTGTGTTCTCTGTCTACTCTTGTGTTCTCTGTCTGCTGTTGTATTCTCTGTCTGCTCTTGAGTTCTCTGTCTGCTCTTGTGTTCTCTGTCTGCTCTTGTATTCTCTGTCTGCTCTTGTGTTCTCTGCTCTTGTGTTCTCTGTCTGCTCTTGTGTTCTCTGCTCTTGTGTTCTCTGCTCTTGTGTTCTCTGTCTGCTCTTGTGTTTTCTGTCTGCTCTTGTGTTCTCTGTCTGCTCTTGTGTTCTCTGTCTGCTCTTGTATTCTCTGCTCTTGTGTTCTCTGTCTGCTCTTGTGTTCTCTGTCTGCTCTTGTGTTCTCTGTCTGCTCTTGTGTTCTCTGTCTGCTCTTGTGTTCTCTGCTCTTGTGTTCTCTGCTCTTGTGTTCTCTGCTCTTGTGTTCTCTGTCTGCTCTTGTGTTCTCTGTCTGCTCTTGTGTTCTCTGTCTGCTCTTGTGTTCTCTGTCTGCTCTAGTGTTCTCTGTCTGCTCTTGTATTCTCTGCTCTTGTGTTCTCTGTCTGCTCTTGTGTTCTCTGCTCTTGTGTTCTCTGTCTGCTCTTGTGTTCTCTGTCTGCTCTTGTATTCTCTGTCTGCTCCTATGTTCTCTGTCTGCTCCTATGTTCTCTGTCTCTCTGTCTGCTCCTATGTTCTCTGCTCTTGTGTTCTCTCTCTTGTTGTTGATGGAGCTGCCATGTTTTGTTGATGTCCAAGCACAAGCGTACAGGCACTGGCACTAATACTGGTTCACAGGGTCACATTTGATCTGTATATTTTTAAAGTCACATTTTGTGAAACCCATCAATAAATCTTCTGCTGTTTTGATCATATGATTTTTGTTGCACGGAGCCAGACGGTGTCCCTCATATAAACGGGTGATTTACATTAAGCTTCATCATCAATGTTGGATTTGTTTAGTTATGCTAGAATTTAAATGTATTTATTTTTCTAAGTCTGAGTTTATAAAAATTGCAATATTTATACATCCTCGCTATTTTAGAATCTAAATTTTGCAGTTATTTATGTCCAGAGATAATTTGTTGTTTTCATATGTTTATGAAATGTTATGCATCAGTTCTGTCATATTGTATTCTTATTTCTGAATCTGAAATAGGTTGTTCATATACACACATATACACACTTCTACTTTCTTTTTTGAGGAGTTTACTGTATAAGAGTTGAGTTTTGTTTGATATGTAGACTGATTCCCCTCACATGGGTTTTGGGACAACAAGTACAGACCCACTGTCTCCTCAACAAACATGTGGTAGGAGTCAACTAACTAGAGACATTCCTTGGAGTTGGGGTGCATCTGTCAGAGAGACAAGGAAGCAACAGTTTGTAGACTGATGCACCAGATCTGTCACAGAGTCAAGGAAGCAACAGTTTGTAGACTGATGCACCAGATCTGTCACAGAGACAAGGAAGCAACAGTTTGTAGACTGATGCACCAGATCTGTCAGAGAGACAAGGAAGCAACAGTTTGTAGACTGATGCACCAGATCTGTCAGAGAGTCAAGGAAGCAACAGTTTGTAGACTGATGCACCAGATCTGTCAGAGAGTCAAGGAAGCAACAGTTTGTAGACTGATGCATCAGATCTGTCAGAGAGTCAAGGAAGCAGTCCAGGTCTCTAGTGCCAGTGCTTCTCAAGTGTCTAGTCCCAGAGGTTCTCAGGTGTCTAGTCCCAGAGGTTCTCATGTGTCTAGTCCCAGAGCTTCTCAGGTGTCTAGTTCCAGAGTTTCTCTGGTGTCTAGTCCCAGAGTTTCTCTGGTGTCTAGTCCTAGAATTTCTCAGGTGTCTAGTCCCAGAGGTTCTCATGTGTCTAGTCCCAGAGCTTCTCAGGTGTCTAGTCCCAGAGGTTCTTGGTGTTTATTGGATGAGATAAACAGAGATTTGCTGACAGCTGGATTCTGGGTATGAATGGTGTAAGGTTTTTAGAATTAATCTAGTCACTGTGATTAAGTTATTGATAAAAACCTAGTCACTAAGATTCTTGTTGTAGGTTTGTGAGAAATCTGGCCACTAGGATTATGGGTTGTTGGAGATATTGACTGATACTTAGTCAATAGGATTATGGGTTGTCTGAAATAATAACAGACACCTAGTCACTAAAATTGTGAACTGTCTGATATATTGACAGACACCTAGTCATTAGGATTGTGAATTGTCTGAAATATTGACATGACAGACACCTAGACACAAAGATGAAAGGTTGACTGAGAAACTGACAGATCTTTGTCACTAGGATTGTGAATTGTCTGAAATATTGACAGACACCTAGTCATTGGGATGATGGGTTGTCTAAGATACTGACAGATATCTAGTCACAAGGATTAACAAATTGTCTTGGAAATTGACAGATACCTAGTCACTAGGATTATGTTTAGTCTGAGATACTAACAGATATTTAGTCACTAGGATTGTGGATTGTCTGAGATATTGACAGACACCTAATCACAAAGATTATAGATTGTCTGAGATTCTGACAGATAGTTAGTCACTGGGATTATGGGTTGTCTGAAATACAGCTTGCCTATAGACAAATTTGGAGACAGCTTACATATATAAACATTATGAAACAGTCTACATAAAGACACATTTGGTGACAGCTTACATATATAAACATTATGAAACAGTCTACATAAAGACACATTTGGTGACAGCTTACATATATAAACATTATGAAACAGTCTACACAAAGAAACATTTGAAGACAGCTTACATATATAAACATTATGAAACAGTCTACACGAAGAAACATTTGAAGACAGATTACATAAATAAACATTATGAAACAGTCTACACGAAGAAACATTTGAAGACAGCTTACATAAATAAACATTATGAAACAGTCTACATGAAACATTTGAAGACAGCTTACATATATAAACATTATGAAACAGTCTACACGAAACATTTGGAGACAGACCGGCTCTGATGTGTTCAATATTCATCAGCTGAACTATTTTATTTTTTTAATCATATTTATTTGCAAAAACTTTGACTGCAGACATTTTATGCATCAGGAACATGTGTTCCTCTCGATTATGTCTCTGGTATCAGGAACATGCGTTCCTCTCGATTATGTCTCTGGTATCAGGAGCATATTTATTTCTGATTGTTGTTTTATACTTGTCAGTTTCATGATTTACCTTGGTTGTGATCATAACTGAACATTTGCTAGATTGTGTTGCCATGAAAGCCATGGTGGTGTAGCAGATAGCATGGCAGCCTACCGATACATTGGTGTGGGTTTATTCATGGGTAATTGCTGGATTGTTCAAATTCATCCAGTTGTTCTGGTTTTGGGATCAATACAGCTTTGTTGTTTTGTGTAACTAAGAAGGTTCTGGAAATGATCAGGGCAGGCCAAGTGGCTACAAGTGGAACTGGTCACCTCAACTAACGATTCTGCGACGGTGGAATATGGATGCTGGGCGTGTTGTTTTAGAACTCCATCAGTTGAGGTTGTCCACTAGTCCACCCCCACCCGCTGCCATCCCCACATATGGGTTCTGGAACCCAATTTAAAAAAAAGGGGGGGGGGGCATAGAACCACTGACCCGTATCAAGCCTATCATAAAAGGCATTTAGTTAGGGAGATATCACAGCCTAGAGGTAAACCACAACTGCCTTTCTAAGGTTAAAGAAAAAAGAGAAGATTATGATTGCCAAATAGATGGCTACTGTTGGTGCACTGTTATTGCTACTGTTGGCTGCTTGATTGGTGATTTTGTTTGTGTTTTCTGGGGACACTATGTGTTTGCCTGAGATTGCAGGTGTTTGTGTTTTCTGGGGACACTATGTGTTTGCCTGAGATTGCAGGTGTTTGTGTTTTCTGGGGACACTATGTGTTTGCCTGAGATTGCAGGTGTTTGTGTTTTCTGGGGACACTATGTGTTTGCCTGAGATTGCAGGTGTTTGTGTTTTCTGGGGACACTATGTGTTTGCCTGAGATTGCAGGTGTTTGTGTTGATAAATGCAGATATAACAAGAGATTTTTAATTCTGTTATTGATTCAGTTTCACATACACAAACTAGTAAACACTTGGTTACATGGACCTCATCAATACCATCACAAACAAAACCTTATTCTGCATTTTTCTGTCTTTCACTTCTTTCCCTCTCCATCCACTACAAACATAATTATTGCCTCTTCTGCTACTTTTTGCTCTCTTATTGTTGTTTCTTTTACCTCTCCTTCTGTTCCCAAATCATTTGTGCCAGACATCTACATTAGTGTAATTGTTTGTTGTTGATAACTTTTACAGAACACAACCCTTTAGTCTCCTGGCACCACAAGGCACGTGATGATGTTGTAGCCGTATGTTTTCCCTATTGTTTGTCTGGGGCACCAATTTGGGGGGGGGGGGGGGGATTAGACCCACCCCCTCCTCCCCCGTACTAGCATTTTGTCAAAGGTAGCTACTAATTAATTGTATGTGTTGGGGTGAAAGGCACAGATGTCGCAGCCTAGCTGTAGGCTGCAACACAACATACTGACTGCCTTTTTAAGGGCAGATGTAGAAGAAGAAGAATTTGTATGTTTCAAACCATATAGCTTGGTTTACATACACTCTGACACTGAAAGCATGTGAGCAGTTTACTGGTGCCTGGAGCCAGTTTACTGGTGCCTGGAGCCAGTTTACTGGTGCCTGGAGCCAGTTTACTGGTGCCTGGAGCCAGTTTACTGGTGCCTGGAGCCAGTTTACTGGTGCCTGGAGCCAGTTTACTGGTGCCTGGAGCCAGTTTACTGGTGCCTGGAGCCAGTTTACTGGTGCCTGGAGCCAGTTTACTGGTGCCTGGAGCCAGTTTGAAGATAAGCCAGCGAGAAACAATATCTACATGTTGCTTAGCCAACAACAAACCCCAAGGCCACAGTTGATCAGATCTGTTTTCTGACGTGATACAGTCTTGTAAATATGTATAGAGATAGAGAAGTGTAAGTTCTATCAGTTGATGACTTACAACAGTAGATATCCTTCTTGTCGTTGACACACGTGACTGTGAGAACAAATGTTTGCCAACACAAGAGTGATCTTTTTGTGACTGATGTTGTTCCTTGGGCTGTCATTCTTATCTCCCAGTCCAGGTGGACATGTACACATTTAACATTTCTTTGCTGTCATAAGTTCATTGATATGTTGTGTGTCCTAGTTCATTGACTTTTATTTTTTTCCTAGTTCACTGACTTTATGATTTTTCTAATTCATTGACTTTATGTTTGTCCTAGTTCATTGAGTTTATGTTTGTCCTAGTTCATTGACTTTATGTTTGTCCTAGTTCATTGACTTTATGTTTGTCCTAGTTCATTGACTTTATGTTTGTCCTAGTTCATTGAGTTTATGTTTGTCATAGTTCATTGACTTTATGTTTGTCATAGTTCATTGACTTTATGTTTGTCCTAGTTCATTGACTTTATGTTTGTCTTAGTTCATTGACTTTATGTTTGTCCTAGTTCATTGACTTTATGTTTGTCCTAGTTCATTGACTTTATGTTTGTCTTAGTTCATTGACTTTATGTTTGTCCTAGTTCATTGAGTTTATGTTTGTCTTTCTCACAGATTTAGTGTATGTCCTAGTTCACAGATTTTTGTCTGTCTTTGTCGGTTGATCTGTTGGGTCCTGGTTCATTCATTTGTTGTCTGTCCTTGTCCTTTGATCTGTTGTGTCCTGGTTCATTCATTTGTTGTCTGTCTTTGTCCTTTGATCTGTTGTGTCCTGGTTCATTCATTTGTTGTCTGTCTTGCAGTGTTGTAGAATTAGAAAAGCTAGCCATCACTGATTGCTTGAGCCAACACTAGTCCAGATTGTGTGGTCAGTAGACCAGCACTGATTGCTTGAGCCAACACTAGTCCAGATTGTGTGGTCAGTAGACCAAATATTTTTGTTAATGCTCTTGTTATTGACTACAGCTGGGCACAAGAACCTTGGTGCTGTTTTTTTCTATTGTATGTTGTACAACTGATGAGATATTACTTTGTGTTTTGTGCCAGCCACCTGTTCAGTTTGTCTGTCTGTCTGGTTTGTATCTGGTTACCCTGTGAATCATTTATTGATCTATGTTGAATTGTCACAACTGGGTAGTCACATTAAAGCTATATTGTAAACACCTAGAACAAAATTACTGGAACTTTGCTCATCTTTGTCGGGTAGAACAAGTTGTGGGCTCTGGTCTGAATCATTTCCTGGTTTGATTGTGGGTCACACAGATGGCAGCTGCAGCAGGGGGGAGGGGGGAGGGGGGGGGGGTGGTGTTTTCTCTGTGTGGGGGATGGGGGGGGGGGGGAACAGTTAACTCTCATCTCCCCAACAAGCATGTCAGAAATAGCCACTATTGAAGGATTTGCTGAAACTGTGTTTGTTGGGCTGAAAGTTACAGATATCACAGCCTAGCTGAAAAGCACTACACAATGTGACAACCGCTGTTTTCAGGGCGAACGCGGAAAAAGAAGAAAAAGAGGCAATAAGCTAACTGTTCCTGGAAGATTGGCTGATCGTTTCAACAAGTTCTGTCTCCATCACGTCTCTCTCAACACCCGAAGCGATAACAGAGGAAGTGAAGAATGAGAAGAAGAAAACTCTTTCACTGGAAGATTGACAGATCCTTTCTTTCAAACTGTTGACAGTACAGCCATCAGTCCATCTTGTCTGCTGTCAACTGATCTGTCACTCGACGATTGCCGGATTCTTTCTTTCAAACTGTTGGCAGTGCAACGATCAGCCCATCTTGTCTGCTGTCAACTGCTGTCTGACAGGAACATTCTACATGCTTGTCATCGAACGGTGGGGAAACAAATGTGACCTGTCGCTGGATACCCTGGCTGTTGGTGGAGCCTGGCAAACTCTCTAGCAGGCAGTAAGTGTGGCTGTTGGTGGAGCCTGGCAAACTCTCTAGCAGGCAATAAGATTGGCTGTTGGTGGAGCCTGGCAAACTCTAGCAGGCAGTAAGTGTGGCTGTTGGTGGAGCCTGGCAAACTCTCTAGCAGGCAGTAAGTGTGGCTGTTGGTGGAGCCTGGCAAACTCTCTAGCAGGCAGTAAGTGTGGCTGTTGGTGGAGCCTGGCAAACTCTCTAGCAGGCAGTAAGTGTGGCTGTTGGTGGAGCCTGGCAAACTCTCTAGCAGGCAATAAGTGTGGCTGTTGGTGGAGCCTGGCAAACTCTCTAGCAGGCAGTAAGTGTGGCTGTTGGTGGAGCCTGGCAAACTCTCTAGCAGGCAGTAAGTGTGGCTGTTGGTGGAGCCTGGCAAACTCTCTAGCAGGCAGTAAGTGTGGCTGTTGGTGGAGCCTGGCAAACTCTCTAGCAGGCAATAAGTGTGGCTGTTGGTGGAGCCTGGCAAACTCTAGCAGGCAGTAAGTGTGGCTGTTGGTGGAGCCTGGCAAACTCTCTAGCAGGCAGTAAGTGTGGCTGTAGGTGCAAGATTTATATGTCTGTATATCAATCAGCACTCGACCATCATGAGGCCAATAACACGCTGGCCGTCTTTACTTCCCAAGACTACCTCATAGCTCTTCGAGGCAGTCGACCTGGGAGCCATGATCGGTCATTAGGTCTGATTTTTTTTCTCCTTTTCTGCCTCATCTTTCTTCTTCTCTTTCTCCTTCCCTCTTCTTTCTTCTTCTTTACCTCCTCTTCCTTCTTCTTCTTCTTCTTCTCCTTCTCCTCCTGCTTCTCTCCCGCAACTCATCTTTCTTTTTCTCCTACACCTTCCTTCTTCTTCCTCCTGTTTTGTCCGCATCCTCCTCCTTCTTTAGTTTTTAAGTTAAAAGGGCGGTAGGTACGTTTTTTTACAGCTGGGCAGCGATATCTGCAATTACAGTCCCACAAATTTGATTTCAGCAAAACCCTAAGTAGTCGCTTTTTATGACCTGCTTGTTTTGAAAAGAGGGGAGGGGTGGGGGGGGGGGGTCTAATTAGCCTCCCTCCACCCGCCCTCACCACCAAATGGGACCTGGAATCCACACTAGGTATACATAAAGAACTACTCATAAAAACTGATACACAAAACATAACCAAGTTCATGCGTGTGCAGAGTGTTTTATTAAATAAACTATAAACGCATTTTGCGTGATATTCTAAACACATTCGAAAAGTGATTATTATTGGAAAACTTGAAGCTGCAAAAAAGCCACTTGTGTAGATTTAAAAGGCTAACAAAAGTACAGGAGAAATACGCACTTTAAAAGTGATTTGGTCTTCCAGAGATCATACATCTACAATGTAAATATCGAGCTTTGTCAACTTCTTCATAGAAGCGACTTGTTCTCCCAGCAGTGAATAGGCACAAGAATCAACAAATCAAGCTCTGGAGGTACGTATAGTGTGTAGATATTGTACAATTAATCAAGCTCTGTAGGTACGTATAGTGTGTAGATACTGTACAATATATCAAGCTCTGAAGGTACGAATAGTGTGTAGACATTGTACAATCAATCAAGCTCTGGAGGTACGTATAGTGTGTAGATATTGTACAATATATCACTGCACTCAAAAAGCACACATTTTATATATTCTATAAGTGCTGAAATGACCTTGACTACGAGGTCGACCCAGCCTTGAGTGGGTATTAGGCGGGAAGTAAAGGCGGCCGGCGTGATGCTGACCTTATCACCTAACTTGTCCCGATTGGTCTATAAAAATATAGGTCTAGCCCTATATGCCTAAAGGCGTGGAAATTTGACCTTTACTTTTTTTTTAAACTTTTATAAATGCTGAACCGAACATGTGTCAGACGATGTTCTGGTTTATCTCCGCGATTGTCTCCGCTATCTCACTACAGACTGATGCCCCTGTGAGGGCAAGAGCCACAATAAAAACAAAACAACAACAAAATCCTTAGGAAACATTTGTACGACTTCTAATACGCATTTGTCACGTGTTAGAACGCAAGGACATATGTTTGCTCCAAACGTGGACATTTTTCATAACACGTTGCGTTGGTTGGCATTTACAGATAGTTGTTGATGGCACACTTGTCCTTCTTGATGATTTATTTCACTAATGTGTCAACTACAAGCAAAGATGCTGCCAAACAATTCTAACAAAAACCACGTTTATCCGGATTATTAATGCTAACAGTTTTATATTTATATTAAAATTGATAAAGAGAATACGCCAGAGTGTTTCCAGTGTCATATTTTTGGGAGGGTATAACTGACATTCAGTGTCTCCCACGGATGATCAACCTTCGCTCATAAGTCTCACCTTTGACCTGAGAAGTAGAAGCGGGGTGGGCAGTGTAGTTTAAAAGTCTCCATGGCCGCACTTGCGGTCGTCGATGGTCAGCTCGGTCAGCAACGTGTCGGTGATGGTGCCCGACGACTCGCTGGCGTGTCTGACGCTATCGCACGAGGAGCAGCAAGGCGTCTGTGACAACAGCTGACTGAGGTTAGAGCTTGACTCTTGCCAACTGGCATAGTGCCGCCCTTCTAGATTTGGTCTGGCATCTGGGGAAAATACCGCCACATGTTTGCGTCTGTAGAAACTTCTGTTCAAACAGAATTACAAGTCTGTCCGTCTGTCTGTCTCAGTCAGTGTGAAAGTAGCGTGTCGTTATAGACAGACGTACCTCGGTTGGCATGTGTGTCTGAAAGTCCATCTGGGTCCATATAGGTCTGTCTGTCCGTGTACTTATGGGTGTAGATAGATGAACCATGTAAGTTCACTTGATAAAACCTGGTAGTTTTTTTTTTAATGAGGGTTTCTCAAAGTATGTTCCTTGTCGCCCCTGGTTGGTAATTCAGAGCATGAAACAACATCTCGGTAAAAGGTCATTCACACTGATGAAGTTCCTTTATTGTCACTATGGGAGCTGAGAATCGACCAAGCATCGCTTGCAAAGGCGGGTCGTCATCAAACAGCGAACAATGGGGATTTCAGCATCCACAAACATTTAAAACTTCTGGGGAAAAGGGGGGGGGGGGAGAGATAGAGAGAAAGAGTGATCATTTCTGTGCGTGTTCGCGGTGCTTGTGATCTTAATTCTGAATCACAAATATAGGAAAAGCTAACCCCATGTTTTTCTTTTCCTTTTTGTCATCTCCCAATAAATCATGTACTCTCACTGACCCCCGTCAAGGCGTCTACTGACTTTGTGTATGACTGCTTCCATTCTTAGTCTTCTACGGGTTGAGCTCGACAATCTCGCGTCCAACTTCTTCCGTTTTATTTACGGCAAAACTGATCAGTTAAATAAATCACATGCCCTTGTGGGCGCCGGCAGCGTTTGCCATGTGTTATGTCTTCTTCTTCTGCCTTTCTATCCCCCAATGGAGCATAGGCCCCCAACCAAATCACGCCAAGTTGTTCTATCCTTCGCCTTTACACGCAGCTCTCCCCGTGTCTTCCCCATCTTTCTAACTTCATTCTCCAGCTCTCTTCTCCGCGTGTGTTTTTTTTTTTTTTTTTTGGGGGGGGTCTACCTTTATTCCTATGCTGCTGTGGGTTCCAATGCAAAGACATTCTAGTTATGCTGTTCTCATTTTTTTCTCAGTGTGTGTCCTATCCAACGCCAGCGTCTTTTCCTCACCTCTTGGTCCATTGGAGCCTGTTTAGTTCTCTCCCAAAGCTCTACATTAGTTATTCTATCATACCATTTAATTCCATCTATTCTGAGTAGGCACCAGTTAATGAATGTCTGTAATTTATTAGTAGATGCCTTAGTTGTTCTCCATGTTTCCACCCCATACAAAAGTACCGATTTGACATTAGAATAAAATTTTTTAGGTTTAGTATTTCTTTTAATTTTATTTTTTTGGACTTCCACAAATTTTCTAGTGCTATGAAAGCTCCTCTCCCGTTTGTGTTCTTATTTTAATATCTTTATCAGTTCCTCCATCTTTATCTACACACTCCCTTGTGGACGCCGGCAGCATTTGGGCATGTCTTATGTTGCAAGCATAAATAAGGCACATCCCCTTGAATACGCTGGTAGCATTTGGCCCTGTGTTATGTCATCATCATATAGGAGGTCCTTTGCTGAACGTCCTTCTCATCACGATCTGTCTGAAAGAAACTCAGTCTCTCGCCAGTTCTTCTGCCTCATGTACTTTCATACTCAAGGAGTGTCTTATATCCTGTGCCCATCTTCGTGTTGGTCGGCCTCTGCCCCTCCTTCCTGGTACATTGCCTTCTGCTATAATTTTTTTCCAAATCCGTCGTGGCGCTTGATATGACCAAAATATTTCAGCTTCTGAGACAGGATGCCGTTTATTAGCCAATCTTCTTTGATCTTTCAAGATGTCTGTATTTCTGCTCTTTTTCGTCCAAGATATTCTGATAATCTTTCTATCGCATTTCAGCTCAAAAGCCCCTATTCTCTTTCTTTAGAACTGGGAGAAAGTCCACGACTCACATCCGTATGTTGCTACAGGGAAGATGCATGCTCTCAAAACGTGTTAGTTATGTAGCAAGCATAAAATGAACGGGCAGTGAGCTGTTTTGAACTCTGTTGGATGTTTAGACATGTGGTTTTGTACAAGAATGGCGGAAACACCTTGGACAGTATGCAGGCGAATGAGACATCTGGAAGCTGTGAAGATCTGATTTTATACAAGAATGTTTAGAACACCGTGATCAATACACATGTACAATGAAACATCCGTGATTAGTAAAGGTGATCATCGCAGCACTCTGGACAGATCCATAGGTGCTCCGATCTCCTCCTCAGTAGCTCCATAAGTGTAAAAGGAGTAATGACGCCTGTTCTGTGTTGATTAATGGAACATCTAGTTCTCTTAGCAAAAGGTTCCCTTCTCGTAGCTCCAGGCTGCACCCCGATGTCCATCAGCCTAGCCATGTCCATCAGCCTAGCCATGTCCATCAGCCTAGCCATGTCCATCAGCCTAGCCATGTCCATCAGCCTAGCCATGTCCATCAGCCTAGCCAGGGATATCCATGCCCTTTGGCGAGCTGGTCGCCACGGTCAGCGCTGTGCATGGCATTGATAACATGGCTTCTGTCCAGTACTGGACCAGCCATAGCAACCGCAGTGTGGGCAAGATAATCTGCACGCTCGTTCCCTTAAACATCCGCATTACCTGGCACAAAGATGAAGGTTATGGTTTCCATTTAGTCTGGTAAATTCTTCTCTCCTCACTCTCTCCTCTTCACCAAATCTTTCAGTAGAGCAAACTTCAAACACATCGGCTTTCTCTTGGTCAGTTATTGCTAATGTGGGTATTTTAATTATATCTCTTCTGATCTCTTTTATTAGCCTTCATTTGATCCCACATCTCGTTCGCTGGAGTATTTGGTGACAGTTTTTTGGGGAAAAAACCGTTTTCCATTGTGCCTCCTTGGCCCCTTAAACTACTCGGCTGGCTTCATTTCTGTGGTTCTTACACACACCAACATTCTCCTGTGTTTTCTATACTTCTGGAGTGCCTTTTCCCGGTGTTCACCTGCTTCAGTGCAACGATGGATCCACCAAGGGACAGCGCGCCTTTTCCAGGTCTCGATGGTCAAGGCTTGGGTTTTACTTGTGTCCTCCTTAAGTGCCAGTTTGTGCAATACATTCTTGACTGATCAAACCAGTCCTGATTTTTAAAGCATTCTCATCGAGTTTTTAAGTATGCACGCTTGTGTGGACTCTTGATAACATCCATGCTAATGCCATGTTTACAGCCATCGTTTCCATTGTAAGGCTACTAGTCGTAACAGCGAAGGCGCCATTCAGCCCCTTGATAGGTTCCCTTCTTGAGCTTACTGTGAATACCCATGCACTTCGCTTGCTCAGAATCACCGATCCGTCTGTGTAAACTATAGCATCACCTTCAGCTGGGTTTAGGTGAATGTGCTTAAAAAATCCAGGCTGGTTTGATCAGACAAGAATGGATTGCAACACTTAGCACTTCACGAACGGCCGCCCTAACTTTCATCTTTGTGCCAAACCAGAATGCTACAGGCACCATTACTATCTGGACTCTTTGCTGGCTGCTGAAGATGGGGACAAAGCGCTTATGGAAATTCCCCAAGTGCTGTGATGTCGGTTCTTGAATCAACTCAACTCATCTTTGTGAAAGCTCCAGTTTTGACTAAAGTGTCCACAAGGCCCTAAATCTGCTCTCTACCGCTTCCATCAAGTGTGATATGGACTGTAGTATTATTGTGGAGAGGGAGGCATAGTTATCCATTCAGTTCCAAAATTAATGTCAGTAAGGCGACAAACATGTTCAATGATATCCTCGGCGCGAAATAACCAGGATTTTCCTCGTTTAAGTTTTTTTTTTTCTTTGCTTGAATAATTCCTGGGTGTTGGTGTGGAAATGAAACATCCGTGAAAGAAAGTAACTTACAAACAGAGCTGATGGCAGGCACACAAGGGGAACACAAACAGAACTGATTGTAGGCACACAAGGGGAACACAAACAGAACTGATTGTAGGCACACAAGGAGAACACAAACAGAACTGATTGTAGGCACACAAGGGGAACACAAACAAAACTGATTGTAGGCACACAAGGGGAACACAAACAGAACTGATTGCAGGCACACAAGGGGAACACAAACAGAACTGATTACAGGCACACAAGGGGAACACAAACAGAACTGATTGTAGGCACACAAGGGGAACACAAACAGAACTGATTGTAGGCACACAAGGAGAACACAAACAGAACTGATTGCAGGCACACAAGGAGAACACAAACAGAACTGATTGTAGGCACACAAGGAGAACACAAACAGAACTGATTGCAGGCACACAAGGGAAACACAAACAGAACTGATTACAGGCACACAAACAGAACTGATTGTAGGCACACAAGGGGAACACAAACAGAACTGATTACAGGCACAAAAGGGGAACACAAACAGAACTGATTGTAGGCACACAAGGAGAACACAAACAGAACTGATTGTAGGCACACAAGGAGAACACAAACAGAACTGATTGTAGGCACACAAGGAGAACACAAACAGAACTGATTGCAGGCACACAAGGAGAACACAAACAGAACTGATTGCAGGCACACAAGGAGAACAAAAACAGAACTGATTGCAGGCACACAAGGAGAACAAAAACAGAACTGATTGCAGGCACACAAGGGGAACACAAACAGAACTGATTGTAGGCACACAAGGAGAACACAAACAGAACTGACTGCAGGAAACAAGGAGAACACAAACAGAACTGACTGCAGGCACACCAGGAGAACACAAACAGAACTGATTGTAGACACACAAGGAGAACACAAACAGAACTGATTGCAGGCACACCAGGAGAACACAAACCACAGTTATGGGACACGTCATGAGCAAGAGACAGATGGACCACATTGTCACATTGGGAAAGATAAAAGGGGAAGAGAGATCAGGAGAGACTAGCAGAAAGGATGTTGGAGAATTGAGAATCAGCACATCGAAGGAGAATGGTATCTGAAATTATGGGCTGATGGAGACTTGTATCATGACATTGAAGGAGAATGCTATTAGAAATGACTGACAGTTGACGAGACAAACGACTTTGGCCATGCACAATAAACAAAGCTGCGCTACCTGAAATGAATAAATAAGAAATGGTATGTATCCTACAGACTGAACGAGGTACACAGACTGAACGAGGTACACAAACTGAACGAGGTACACAGACTGAACGAGGTACACAGACTGAACGAGGTACACAGACTGAACGAGGTACACAGACTGAACGAGGTACACAGACTGAACGAGGTACACAGACTGAACGAGGTACACAGACTGAACGAGGTACACAGAATGAACGAGGTACACAGACTGAGGTCTTACATCTGCGGTAGCTGGTGCTACTGATGTCCGACTTTTTCTCCGAGAGAGTCTCCTGTCCTTTAGTGTTGTACAACAGACTGCCAATGCTGCCCTCGTCCCTCTCCGCAAATGACTGAGCTATGGATCCCTGCGGAGCAAAGGTGCTTACATTATTCTTTTAGTACCAGGAAACTCTCGTGCTTTTATTAGTTTATGTTTATATGGTCAGTATTTCTGTACCCTTTATGTCCCATTGATCTGTAATGTTTATATGGTCAATATTTCTGTGCTTTTTATGTCCCATTGATCTGTTATGTTTATATGGTGAATATTTTAAATGGTCAATATGTAGGAAAAGGAGTCAATAGGAGGAGTGAACAAGTACAAGGAAGAATGTATACATTCAGACTAACATCAGCGCCAAACCATCAATTAATAGCATGATAGCCGGCCGGCAAGGAATCTCAATTAGAACACTGGACGAACAACGCCACACGAGATACAGTACATGTTTCTTGTCGTCAGATAGGAAGACATCGAACCATGAAACTAGGGTGCAGGGTACGCAAGGCTTTAGATAAGACGGGACCAACGGAGAAGAATCTAGGAAGATGGAGATAAACAGGTGGACGAATAGATGATGGCGTTGTGAGAAATCGCCCGAGCTTAGAGGAGAAAGAAGATAACGAAAAAATGAGAAATGGACGAAATGGAGAGAAGGGGGAGAAGGAGGAAAACGCAAGGACGGGGGGAAGAGAGGGTCGAAGCAAGTAAGGGCAGGGGTGTGTGGGCAGCTAGTTGCAAGAGAAGTTAGGGTCGAAAGGCAATTTGTGAACATAGCGGTTTAATGTATGGCCGAGAGAATATACAGAAACAATGACCTGAAGTTTTAATCATCATAATGTGAAATTAAAATGTGTCGTACTTGAATTGGCATTATGTTGTTATAATAAACTATCCTAAACTGAAATGAATTAATAGATCGATCACTGGCCATGATGTTAAACACAACAGACAGACATTAGAGAATCTATCTATTATACTTTATTTCGTTTAGGTATGCTTACACTGGGGAGGGGGGGGGGGGGCATGGAAGTACAGATTATACCAAAAACAATTCTGTACTCATGTACTCTTTATGTCCCATTGATCTGTTTTGTTGACCCACTCTAACTGAAGTATTACTATCGTTTCTTCTGCTCCGAAGCTGTCCCTCTCTATAAGAAAAGACCAACAAATGTTTCTCTAATATACCAAACGCTAAGTAGGGACAGTGTTGAGTTGAGAACTTCTTGGGCCTGAAAGAGTTAATGCTTCAGTTGTTACATGAGCTCTCACAAAGAATGTTCAATATTATGCAGGTTCTTATCCTGGACGTCAAATATCGCACATGCGCTTCTCATAAACGTTAAATAAGGCATACAAGCTTCTCATACACGGTAAATAACTTATAATACACACATGTAGGTTTTACAGCTAAAAAAATACAATGATCTTTATTATCACGTCCACTCTTATGTCGCCTCTTACGGCATGTTTGCAAGGTTACATGGCTATTTGCCTTTCCACCTGTAAGAATTCCCTGTAAAAGACAGGCGAGCAACGAGACGCAAACGTTTTGAGAGCATGCATCGGTAATGAGGTTTCTGAATCAGTGACCATTTCACAAACACTGACAGAACATCCCGGATTGTGCATGTTACTGAATTCTTCTCGGAAAATCATGGATCTAGAAAGCAAATGATGCCGACATTTCCACAGATCTGACAACTGGCACACATCTAGAAGGCAAATGATGCGGATATTTGCAAAGATCTGACAACTGACACAAATCTAGAAGGCAAATGATGCGGACATTTCCACAGATCTGACAACTGACACAAATCTAGAAGGCAAATGATGCGGATATTTCCACAGATCTGACAACTGGCACGAATCTAGAAGGCAAATGATGCGGATATTTGCAAAGATCTGACAACTATCATACTAACATCATCATCATGTGTCTCACAATCAAATATGAGAACCTCATTAAGTGATGCAGTCGTTGAGAAAGAGCAACAAATGAGAGCGATGTACCTGGGCACAGAGGCAGGGACCGACTAGTGTGATGGTGGACACCAAAGAAATCCTGGATTTGAAAATACACGAGGCGGGGAAGCTCGCCAAATGATGGAGACTCTAACCAGCGGACTATGAGGAAAACGACGAGCTACAGACATTGTTTGACAAGTTGCTCATGATGATGATAGTGATGATGATGACGATAATGATGATGATGACGACGATAGTGATGATGATGACAATAGTGATGATGATGACAATAGTGATGATGATGACAATAGTGATGATGATGATAATAGTGATGATGATGACAATAGTGATGATGATGACAATAGTGATGATGATGACAATAATGATGATGATGACAATAGTGACGATGATGATGATGATGATAGTGATGATGATGACAATAGTGATGATGATGACAATAGTGATGATGATGACAATAGTTATGATGATGATGATAGTGATGATGATGACGATAATGATGATGATGACAATAGTGATGATGATGACAATAGTGATGATGATGACAATAGTGATGATGATGACAATAGTGATGATGATGACAATAGTGATGATGATGATAGTGATGATGATGACAATAGTGATGATGATGACAATAATGATGATGATGACAATAGTGACGATGATGATGATGATGATAGTGATGATGATGACAATAGTGATGATGATGACAATAGTGATGATGATGACAATAGTTATGATGATGATGATAGTGATGATGATGACGATAATGATGATGATGACAATAGTGATGATGATGACAATAGTGATGATGATGACAATAGTGATGATGATGACAATAGTGATGATGATGACAATAGTGATGATGATGACAATAGTGATGATGATGACGACGTCACAAGTGGTAATGTGAGACAAACACGTAGAGGAAGGCGGGATATAAAGAACCCGGCGTCTGCTTGAACGTATCAGCAATCTATTATTTAAAAAAAAATCAATATAGAGAACCCACGAGGTAGGGATGTTCTAGTTTCACCCTAGTAGACTTTGAAACACCCCTCCATCATCCCCTGGATCTCAGGTTGACCCAGTGAACTCTGGGTTAAAGTTCGTTTCCTGTCCTTTTAAAGGATTTGGCAGAACCAACCAGATGTTTCATTTTTTGGCTGTTGGTGATGTCACCAAGCAATGGTTTGCTATTGCTTCATCAACTGCCTATTCTCGATAACATGATCGGCGATAGGTCTATAAACACATCATTCACCTAGCATCATATATCAAGTGTGCCTAATATCGTGGCAAATGGGAGACTAACTACTTGACTACGTAGAGAGATGGTACATGTCTTAAGCAAAAACAATTAAAATTTGTAGCAACTATCCTCTCGGAGGACGGGAGAATCGGGAAAACAGAACAAAGTGTCAACAAGCCAGTGCACTTATATACCAACACCGTTATTAGGATATCGAAACATACGTTTGAGCGCCAATAAACAGATCATAAACAGCATATTCATACCAACACTGTGCTACCAGTGCCAGACTTGAACATTATCAAAGGCTAATCTACGTAAAATTACCACCTGTGACGTGAGATGTCCGAGAAAAGCCGCCAGCTCAACAATGCTAGACGAAGTTAGAAATGATATCAGAGAGAATGTAGGAACAACATCCTGCAGCAAATTCAGTGAGAAACAGAAGATCAAATGATTTGGTCATCTAGTAAGAATATAGCCAGAACAACTAGCAACGCAGGCGGTACACGTGAAAAGATCTGAAGTAAAAGCAACAGCCCGCCTAGGCCAATATGTACTCATGATATTACAGAGCTTCAACATCGACACGGAATGATAATACCTATTGCTGTCCAGCAATGGATGGTAAACTGTTCCTCCCTACAACACTTAACGATAGATGTGGAAAATGAGGCTGCTGATGATTCTGATATCCTGTTGGGCTATTATATATCACACAGAGCTTACAGTCTATTCATCTCGCCAGTTCTATCCTGAGCGATCTATTCAATATCATGGATAGAATCTTGTCCAGCAGCTTTGGCCTCTCTCATCAACGTTCCTCTTAGATCATCAACATTCCTCTTAGATCATCAATGTTCCTTTAAGATCATCAAAGTTTATCTTAGATCATCAAAGTTCCTCTTAGATCATCAACTCTTCTCTTGGAGTTTCTTGTAGACGTCCTCGCCTCCCTAATTCCCCTGTTTTCCATTTAGATGTCTTTTCGGTGATTCTCTGCTGGTTTTTACTCAGGATGTGTCCAACGTAGCGCCATCTTCTTTGCCTTATAACTGTTGATATTTTTGGTTGCTCAGACATTTTCTCTTATTTCTTCACCCCATTTCAATTCATCCATTTTGTTTTCATTGTTATCTCAAGTTGCACAAAGTATTAAATTATGCCGATGATATCAAAACAACAACCAGTAAGGACCGACAAGGCTCGTCAAGATGGAATTACCTTCAGTCTGCGACGGAACCTGGAGGGAGGGCAGTTGTTTGCTCCCGTGTCGTCAGTTCGCGGTTTCATGGGGCAAACTACAGCTGGCTCGATCACCTCAGGTGTTTCCGGGATCTTAGGCTTCGGCTGCAGGTCAACTATTGGCAGCAGTTGGCGGGCCAGCTTCTCTTGTTCCATCTGACCCTCCAGATAGCGCTGCTGCCCCATCAGCTCTTCCTGCTGTCTGTGCAAGCTCAGCAATTGTTCTTCGTATGAAGGCGAAGACTGCTGCATGGAAGGTGGCGGTTCAATGACTGGCGGGGCCGAGAGCTCGACCTCTTTAACGGGAGCAGGTTTTGTTTCGCGGCTTGGCGTCACTTTCACCACCCGCTTTCTGTAATCCGTTGGTTCGGGAGGCTCTTGCATAAACTGGATCCATTGACACGTCTGGTTGTGTCTCAGAAAATCTTTCCCAGCATCCTTGACCCTGCTGGCCATCGGTTTGGGCTGTAGCATAGTGTGTGGCTGGTATAGAGCTTCGGCCATAGCCTTGGACAAAGAGTGCTGGATGCATCGAGCGGTCTTACTGTTTATCTTGGTCTCTTCCAGGTCACTGACAGAGATCTTTGCGCTGTTGGAGGTATCCATGGTGGTAATCTCACACTTGAACCACCCTGGCAGTTAAGATGTTCCTTGAATCTGGCAGATACAAGAGAAGCGTGTTTTTATTATTGTTCCGTGTGAAAGCTTATGTATGTTTTCACAAATTTCATCGTTTAGATTTTTTATCGATGTTAAATTTAACATCAAGTTTTCAACCCAGTATGTACGTTACCAGTAGAAATATTTTGCTGTGTGTGATAAAAAAAAATACCCACTATCACTTAACAAGCGTGTCGTAAAAAGCAAGAATATAAAGATATGCTGAAATCAGAGATGTTAGGTCAAAAGGCGCAGCGATCACAAAGGATAACGTAGAGTGAATAGTGGTAGTAAACATAGGGCGCCTCAGTGACACAGTAGCTTGAGGTCTTGCATGTCGTCCCGTTGTCCGGCGCCGAACCACCAATCGAGGCAAGCTGTTAACAGAAACTGACCAGGGTTGTCGGATGAACTCAAACTTAAATGAAGAATCAGCTAATTTTCTGGACGGTAAAATTGACCGTGTGATACTGGAGACGATAACCATCGAGTGCCAATTGTCTGTAAAATTATGGCAGCCTAACTTGTTCCAACACCTTTATTTCCCAGTTGCCGACTCCCTACTGAGAGGACGTGTTTTTTCCTAGATCTTACTAGGTATAGCAATGGATCGTTTTGTTTCGTTTATTTTGCTATACATTTTCGTCGGTAACTATAGACGGGGTTGCGACCCGAAAATTTGAAAACCAATTGTCCGTTATTGAGAAAATATTTTTCTGTGCTCTTTACGTGAAAGATAAAATCGGAAAAGTTATTAGAAGTTATTGGAGAGATGCCAGGCTTTGACCTGAGATGGTTTTGACGCGTATAAAAAAAATCGATTTTTTTCGGCAGCACGCGGTGAATAATGGTAAGTAATTTCGTAAATATCTTTTTAATTAGCCAGATTACCGCAATGTGTGTTGTATTTTTGAATTCTGCGTTAATTTTTATATAAGTGTGTGAAATTTCACAAACATTGGCAAATGCGCAGATGTTTAAAAAAATTGTTTAGTGGCATCACTGTTTTCGCTTTTAATCCACTATGTTTGCACTAGGAGACCGCTTTGTAATTAACTTAAAATAATTATTAAATTAGCTAACGTTATTTTAAGAATTTTTTTTTAAAATCTGCAACCATTGTAGCATTTGTTCATGCATCTGTCATTATTTAGAGCCCTTCGTATTCTCTGTTGGAGATATTTTTGCCTGATCACCAATAAATCCCAATAATTAATTTAGGCCATCGTTGGTAAGATGATTCTTTGGTAATTAACTTAGGAAGCTTAGTAAATTGACAATGTTATGTGAGTTACTTTTTAAACATCCACAAACATTGTACAATTTTTTCATGTGTTTGCCATTATTTAGAGCTTACAGAATTTTATGTTGGAGATATTTTTACCTGCCCATATCTTGATCACGAATTTCACAAATTCTGGCACTGAATGTAACATTTTTTTTAGAACAAAGCATATAAAATCTAATCTAAAACAGAGTATTATTGTGTTTATTACAAGTGAAAGCACCTAATTCCAATATGACATTCCTTATGTATTTTTTCATAATATTTATATTGTATATTTACAGTCATGGCAAGAAGGACAGCTAAGCATCTCAGAGATCATCTCTCAGTTTTTGAAGCTGGATACCCTATACAGAAAGGCTACATTGCTCGACGGCTGCTAGTGGATGGTTATTCTATATTTAATGTTTTAAGTGAAGTCCAAAGTATGGTGCAGGCAGCAGAACCCAGCAAGTCTTTGAATGAGGGAAGTCTTACAACTAGTTTGTATAAATATATAAAAGATTGATTTTGCATAAAAAAATTATTATATGGAAAAGGCATTTCAAAAGTGAGCTTAGTTACTTTACTGGCAGGTTTAACAAATACTGAAGGTACACCTAATTTTGATATATGGTGTCATTTGTTTTGTGCTGCAACACATCAAATGGTTTTGAGTGTTTATCAATGTATCAGTGAGTTAGCTTATTGTATATTGCATTGGTAACTTTATTTTATATTCATTTTTAGTGTGTGACTTTTTCCTGACTATTATTCTCTGGGTCACTGCCTCTTTTCATTTTTTACCTGTCTCTGTCTTTCGACTTGTTGCTATCCCCACTGTATGTCCTCTCCTGTGGTATTCCCTGGCTCTGCTGTCTCGTGCATTCAATTTGCTCAGATCCCATATAATTTTAAGCTGTCTATGTGTGATTTTCTATTCACTAAATACAGTCCTCTGTGTGTCGACTGGTCATGATGCATACCAGTGTAAATGTTTTGCTCTTGGATGCTGGGCAAACATGGATACTACAATAATTTTTTAATTTTTTAAATTACACAATAGCAGTTGTTTTCCAGAGAAGCTGTGGCGAATGTATAATCACATCAAAATCCCACGGTATATCAATCATCCATGCTGTCTCTGTTATTAGTGTATGCCTAGATTGTTGTCTTATGTACTCCTACACAACAAGAGAGAAGCAGTGATATGTATATGAAAACAACACTGTATAACAATGATCCTTGTTGTACTATTCCACCCGCTAGATGGATGTTTCCATAGTTGCTTTATAGATATAGCAGCAGCGTGTGTGAAGCTGTGGTGAATGTATAATCACATCAAAATCCCACGGTATATCAATCATCCATGCTGTCTCTGTCTGTCTGTCTACATTTTATATGTATCTATCTCAATCCCCCTTTTTTTTAAATGTAAGAACATTAGTGCTATTTATTGTTATCCCTCATGTATGCACGTTATCATTCATTTCTCACTGTGGCATCATTACTAGTTTATACTTTTAGGTGCTTCGTGTAGTAAAGATATTCACATTCATACGCTTTCTAAGTTAATTTTGTCAAAAACATATTGCCAAACTGTGTCTTTTTTCTTCTGCCTTCTATGCCCTAATGGGGCATTAGTCCTCAATCAACTCACGCTGTTATTATAGTCATTGCTGTTACATTTGCTCTTAGTCTCTTTCCTATCTTTTTAACTTCACTTTCTAGCTCCCTTCTGCATGTGATTTTATGGTCTTTGTATATTTTTATGCCCCTGTTGGTTCCAGTACACAACGCATTGGCAGACAACTATAAATGTATTAGGTTTTGCTGAAAGAAAGTCAATTGATTGCCATTTTCATATGTTAATTAGGTCACGTCGACTGACTTTGGTATATTTTTTTTTATCTTTGTGTTCACTTTGTCGGGAAGCACAATTTGATATGCATGTCGCCAGGCATTGATAAACTTACAGGTATAATGTTTTCATATGTTAATTTTCATATGTTAATTAGGTGCATAATGTATTATATGTTTTTAAAACGTGAATAGACAGTTAGGTCTAACTGTCCCGCTTCCAGCAATATTTGGTTGCTAAGGGATTCATTTAGAAACAAAAAAGTTATGGCCGTAAAATCAAACATTGAGTCATTTCATCTCACTGGGTCGCAGCCGGAAGCCATGTTTTCTCGATTTTCACTACAATTTTTCTGTGGTGGTATCCGCCACTAAAATGGTAATATCTCCGTTTACAATCGACTTACAGGCTTAAATGAGGCACCATTGGATTTGTAATTTTAATTTGCATCTAGCTGTTATAATTTCGTAAGTAAAAACCCCAAAAAATGAAACTTCACTACCATCCCTACTCTTACTATTTGGATTTTTCTATTCTAATTATGTCTGAGAACTAGCGACGTTTTTACTATCGTTGTGATCGTTATTCCGTTAGACGTGCAGTGAAATATTGTTTCACCCAATTAGATGTCATGATTGCATGCAAATGTGGTTTTTGTAGCATTCTCAAACATATTTTGAGCGGAAATGTGCCGATGGTACCGACACATGAACCACGGATGCGAAGGTCAGTGGGCGTTTTGTCCGCGACACTGAGATTTATCACCACCCAGAACACTGGCTAACCGAGAGACGTCCCCCAAGTGTCACACTATACAAACAAACATGTGTGACTACAATAGGACTGAGCTTTTTCAAAAGATAGTAATGCTAGGGAAAAGAAGTGACAGGAAAATGCTAGCAGCTGGACTCACACACTAAACTATAGGCATCCGGGTCATCCCATTCTCTAATGATACTACGTAGAACATTATACGCGCGGTATTTCCAACGACTTGTAAAGGCGACTTGCCCGCTACTATCTGTGTGAGACAGAGAGAGGACAATAAATCTTATACGAGTTAAACGTGGAACATGAAACTGGCTAAACGACGCAACACCAGGCCATCAACCAATATACGTCCCGTTCCCTCGGACACCTAGACGCTATTTAATGGAGCAGCATTTGTTCTAACGCAGGCGGGTTCACGAATGGAAGAAGAAATAATTACAGACACTCATAATTCTTTTCTTTTAAATATTTCACCTTTCTTCGCGATGACATCTCATCAGGCTACACCAGATACACCTGAGAGCACGACATTCTCTAATTACCCAATTTACCTGCAGGATTCAAGTTCACACGGCTCTACCCTGCTACAACAGTTCCATCTGTGACCACGTGGCCACCTAGAAATGAACGTAGAGACACAGCACTTGATTTGCTGTTTTCAGGCTTTGATCGATGCACGCAAAAACGGTATGGCTGACAACAAGCACGTTTGGATATCGAAACAGAAGACCCAATTAACGCTATACTTTTGCTGTAATTAGTTACGCGGTGATCACCCCACCCTCCTCTCTCTCTCCCTCTCTCTCTCTCTCTCTCTCTCTCTCTCTCTCTCTCTCTCTCTCTCTCTCTCTCTCTCTCTCTCTTTTCTGTCTACGCCGATTTATGTATGTATTGGCTGGGCTGTTAATGATTGTTATTAGTCATCGCTAGTGTATTACTATTGTTAGAACCTAGAAAACGCGAATGCAACCCCCGGTGGCTTGCAGAATACATTTTTCAAGCAATGTTACCCTACCACAAAGTATGCATCTCTTTCTGAAACCGTCCCTC